AAACTCACATGAATGTTAACGAGGTTAAATATTATATTAATTTCAACAGTATACTAAACTATATCATCATCCTATGAATAATTATTTGATTTAACATATTTAAAATGTATTTAAAATGTTTAGGTTATTGCCAATCGTGCAATTGAAATGCTTGGTGGTGAACTTGGCTCCAAAAAACCTGTACATCCAAATGATCACGTTAATATGGGGCAGAGTAGCAATGATACATTTCCAACAGCTATGCATATAGCTGTTGCCTTAGAAATACATAAAACATTACTTCCAGGATTAGAAGAATTACATAAAGCATTGGAAAATAAGGTAGACGAATGGAAAGATGTTATAAAAATTGGTAGAACACATACCCAGGATGCAGTACCATTAACATTGGGTCAAGAATTTTCAGGTTTATATTTATGCAAACTACATGAATGATTAACGTGAATGATTAATGTGAACGAGACTTTTTTGTATTGAATACAAATAAACGTAGAAATAAACATATTTATACTGATTGACAGGTGAGAACATCTGCCTTGGGTATATCGCGTTCATGAAGAGGACGACTCTAGCCTAGAGCGTGATGTACAATAAGTTGCAAACATTCTGTCATAATGCTTCGCAACAACTAATCAGAAGCATCAATAGTAATTAGTGCTTCTGATTGACTGTCATGAAGCATTGCGACTGGCGACGGTGTATTGGTAACTTATTGTAGACCATGCTTTGGAGCTATATCCAAGAGTACAATAATATATGAGGCACTAAATAACGTGCTTAAGTCCTCCAATCCAATCGTAAAATGTGCGGATCATGGTTGGTCTCTTCGTGGATACGGTATAGTTGTGTTCTCGTAGCAGTGGTTTCTGTAATCTTTGTTACAATGTTCAAATATAGTACCGTTTCGCATTCGGTAACGTTTCTTCTTTGAATTATGCAGTTTATGCAAAATTTCGATGGCTTTAATATTTTCGTTCACAAAAAATTTGAACAACTCGTACGGACAATGGTACTCTATATTGTTTGTTCGCAATAATGACTACATTGCTATGAGATTACAACTATTTAGGCCATGAGGAAACACTCTCATTCTCAAAGTTTTTTGTGTAAATACAAATCAACGTTTACCAATATTGAAATTTGTATTCGTACACAAAAAATCTAGATTATATTTGAACCTCGTATTTGAATTTGGAATCATTCATATCTATACAATAAGGACTGGAGAAAGACATATTTAAAATACTTTTATTAAAATAATATTTATTTAGACAATTGTATTTAATATTTTAGTAGAGCACATGAAAATACTTTGTATTTTGTACTTTAGCATTATAATAACGAAAAATTGAGGGTGCAACCACAATAGAAGGAATAAGGAATTAAGATTTCAATCTGTCAAAAATCAGATACACCGGAATGCACAGTTTCTATAAATTGAAATCGTTATTCCTTATTCCCAATTCCTTATTTCTTCTATTGTGGCTATACCCTGAAAGTATATTTTGTATTTTAAATACTAAAATTGACAGTCAATCTTATTGAATTACAAAATATATAAAACTTTCAATTTTTCGATTTTAAATATAAAATATGTAATACTTTCGTTTTTTTGGCTTTCACGGATATTATCTTCAAAGATGTCAGAAGGTGTTTATCTAATGTTTTTATCATGCATGTTTTTATCTAATGCATCGTAATAATAATAACGTTTCGTGAATCTTGCCATTTGCTTCATCAGAGCGAGGAACACACTATTACTGAGCTGCTCCTCCGCAGAACTCCCTTTATATAGACACTGTAGAAAGAGGCGAGGCTATGTTGAAAAAGAGAGGAGGGAGATTTCCTTGCCTTATCAAAAGAGTAGTCTACTCTTCCATATTCCACTTACATTATAACCTGAATCTCTGTTCAAAGTGTTTGGATGTATTTCTAAAGAGGCCCTCTGTACTTCCTCGAAAAATTGACATTATTGTAGCTATAGTAGCTGTTTTATCGAATAATATTTGATGTCCTGTTGCAATGTAATACTTTCATGTGCTCCGCTAAAATACATACATACAAAATACATTTTTATTGCAAAAATTATACTTTAAATAAAAATTTTAAATGCATGACCAATCCTGCATATAATAGGTCTGTCTTTTATTCCTATGTTAGATTGCACTAGAATTTTCTTTCTCACTTTCGCCAAATCAACATATGCATGCCCTTATTTTAGGTTCCAAAAGTATACATTAGTCAGTCATAAAAAACAGCCTTAGGATTTTTACGCTCATACGCTGTAAGCATCAGTTTCATCCTTATTATCTATTAAATATTAAAGGACGAACGATGCTTACAAGCACTGTAAGCCCAAAACGAAACGCATCTCTAATATGTATTATTAAAATATTTCGCAGGATATGCTGCGCAATTGGAAAATAGTATTAGAAGGGTAAAAGATACACTCCCAAGATTATATCAAGTAGCTCTTGGTGGTACAGCGGTTGGAACTGGATTAAATACGAAAAAAGGCTTTGCAGAAAAGGCAGTTGCAAAAATTGCACAATTCACTGGTTTACCCTTTGTCTGTGCTCCAAATAAATTTGAAGCTCTGGCTACGAACGATGCACTTGTTGAAGTACACGGCTCTTTTAATACAGTAGCTGTTTCTCTAATGAAAGTAGGTATTGACACATAACTAAAAATTATATTTATAATTGCTGATCATTTGTGTCCTAACAGCTTATGTATATAATCTGCACAGATCGCAAATGACATTAGATTCCTTGGAAGTGGACCTAGATGCGGTTTAGGAGAATTAATTCTCCCAGAAAATGAACCGGGAAGTTCTATTATGCCTGGAAAAGTAAATCCTACGCAAACTGAATCAGTGACCATGGTGTGTTGTCAAGTAATGGGTAATCATGTGACAATAAGTATTGGTGGTAGTAATGGACATTTTGAACTTAATGTTTTTAAAACGGTTATGATTGCGAGCGTCTTGAGATCTGCAAGATTGTTAGGCGATGCCTGCTCTTCGTTCGCAAAAAATTGTGTTGTTGGCATTGTTCCTAATATTGAGAATATACAAAGAAATCTGAATCAAAGTTTGATGCTTGTCACAGCATTGAATCCATATATTGGTTATGATAAGGTATTTATAAATTTATGTTTCTTTAGAATGAATATGGAGATGGGAGTTTTTTATAGTATATGTGTATATACACACACACACACACACACAAATTATTATTTTTATGAGGATTTATGTCTATAATTTTTTTTATAGGCTGCTAAAATTGCAAATTATGCACATAAAGAAAAGCTTACACTAAAAGAATCGGCATTAAAACATGGAATATCGGCAGAACAATTCGATCAATGGGTTCGACCCGAACAAATGCTTGGACCGAAATAATTTCTACGTTGAAAAATATTTAATAGAAATATACATGAATATGTATGTATGTATCTATAGTTTCTCCATTCTATTCTATATATTCTAAATATTTCTTTATTTTCAATCATTTCCTGAAAATTCCTTTCGTTTAACTCTCTTGTACTTATCACATGAATAAAGAACCTTGGAAAATAAATAAATAAATGACAAAATTGCACATTTTCATTTTATATGTTATACATATATGAAATATTGTTGAATATTTCACATAAATGATACCTTACAAGGTGTCCGATAAATTTTGACAAAACACTCGCGTGTAGATAAAACTAGAGCCTCCCTGTAAGGCTGTCTAGATAAAATTAGTGATCCTATAATCAGAGTTTAGCGAAAGCCATGGGCATAACTTTCAATTTTGGTTCTTCACCTTGGTCCACTTCGTATTCTTTGAATATATTGCTAAGAAATAGATAGCTACAAGCAGATAAGTAAAATCAGAGAGAATCGAGGGAGAATGAAGTGGAATGAGGGTTCACCCGGAAGCCGCCATTTGTAGTGCACCGTTGAAGTAAAAACGAGACGTGATAAGAACGTGATGGAACGATGCTGCACACGTTAGTATTGTACCGCACTAGTTGTGTGTTGAGACATATATGTACCTACACACACATACGCATTTGCGGAAATTACACTACAAATGGCGGAACCAATCAGAGAAGAGAAACATTCTCTGCTCCACTCTCTCTCGATTCTCTCTTGAGTAAAACCTGTGTTAAAGAGATTAGAAATCGTTCCGAGATCAAAGAGACAAAGATCTCGGACAAAGAAAAAATTAACAAATTACAATTGCGCAATTCGGCCAATTGATCAATTCGATTGGTTTCTTCAGGTAGTGTCGTCACTTATCACGTATTATCTATCACATATTCTAAGGATGGAGTTCCATGAAGCGTATTTGCTGCATATCGCATAACCGTATAACTAATCAATAATCAACGAGGCCTTTGTCCCATGCAACGGATCGTACTTAAGTATCGCCAATCACAGCATTATTCTCTTAGATCTGTTTACAAATTTTGCAAGCAGATTTAAGAGAATGATTCTTGTCGTGATTGGCGATACGTGAATATGGCGATACGCGTCATGGAACAGCAACCTACGCGAAACTACACCAACGGATCGCTTCTGATTGGTCCACCTCATTGGATTCCAGCCTAATGCCTACTGCACACTGGACGCGATGACGCTTGCCGCGCGGCAAATTGAAACGCGATAACCAATAAACACATTAGGAGCTGTAAGCTTATTGGCTACTGCATCACATTTTGCCGCGCGGCAGACGTTTCCGCGTCCAGTGTGCAAAAGCCATGAGTTTAACTTTTGTCGCGCAGTGGAAATTATATATCTATTGCTTCCGAGCAAACGAGACGTTGATTGGCTATCGCGCCAACATCCGTCGCGCGGCAAGCGTTGGCACGCTCTGCTGGAGCTACAAGTGCGAGCGTGCAAAGTGAATATTATACCCCTATATATATCTCTATAGAGATTTATGATCTATGATTGAGAGTGCATATGATTACGTTGATACTTTTGTCACAGGCTGTACCCGGGCATTTAGCATTCGATTGACAGGGGTAGACAGTAGGTAGCGGGATACAGGTAGTAGGAATACAGTATTTATTATACCAGTTATACTCTTTCACGGTATGGTTGTGATTAGTGCCGGTCCGCAAGTATAAAATAAAATAGTTTTCGCGATGTATAGTCACCAGATATATAATTGACAAGGATTAAGTCGTCTGAACGAATTGCGGTAAGTCCCGATAGCTTGCTAATTGTTCAATATTTTTGACAAACACGCAAAGAATATGTTCCGTCAGTGTGACAAGCGTTTTGTTCTCCAATTCGATAGTGTTGCTAACGGACACAGTTCGAACGACATAATAATTTGTTAAGATATGGCATACAGATTTTAGAAAGATTTATTCCTCAAGTGATCTTTTTGCCAAGACTATCGCATAAACAAATTTAACAATTTAATATTATGTATATTTAACTTTTATAATAATTACCGAGTATGTTATACAAAATATTTTCTCTTATGTTACACTCTCTCTTATTTTCAGCGATCTGTATCTTGGTTTTCGAGGTTTGCACGCGAGCAATACTAATGTTGCTAGTGTGTTAGCATTGATTTTTAAAAATTCTTATACTTTAGTCAGTGTTCAAGAGACACACATAAACCTTACAAAATCAATGCTATATATTTTCGTTCGTTATTATCTCAATCAAAGTATATTTTACACAATCAAAACAAATTCATATTTCTCTCGTATTTTGTTTTAAATTCATAATCTTCCTTTCAGTGAAATGAATTCAAAATATTTTTTTTTAGAATCAAATTTAAAAGGCAGTAATATAAAAATTTATCTTCTCAAATCAGTTTTAGTTTATTAATAATTCAAAAAAGATTTTCTTACCATTAGTTTGGAATGTTCGATATTTTAAAATGATGAAAAAATTACTGATTATTCTAATGCTAATATATTTATAGTCAGGCCTTATATTTAAGATTTCCTATGAATACGGACATAAGGATGCATTTTATTTAATATTTGCAACGCTCGTGAGTATTATTTCATCCTTCTTGTTATCAAATTCTAAACAAGAATGAAATAATGCATTCGAGAGTACTGCGAATATTAAGTGGACGCACCCTAAATTATACTTTAAATCGATACGGTTATGTATTTTTTTTAATGATAGAAATAGTATTTTTTGAATTTGTGTTCTAATAGAAAATGTATGAAAATGTATTAAAAAATAAATAACAAAAATTTTAATTTTTTGGTATAAATATTTTATATTAAGTTACTTGGTATATATATATATATAT